ACGCAATGTACTATTTTTGGGAACAAAAAGAAAGAAATGAAAGATGCTTTGGTGAGTCCGCGCGCCACAGAACAAATGCAACTGGAATGTTTGTTTCATTTTATGTTGATCTTTTTACGGCACCTTACAATGAGCCGTGTGAATCTACAAAGGTATTAACCGTCGAAAATATTTGACCACACAGGATATCTGAACTGCAAAGATATTCCCCGCCCATGACATGAAATTCAACGAGTCTCATCAATCGGATACCATATATTGTACGTATCCCACGGTGTCGCGTTATCCGAACAGGAGTTGAGAAAGGTCTAAAATAACACAGCATATTCAATATATAGTGTCGACGATAGCCACTTCACGACGATCGGACCAATCCGGCATGTTTTGGGAGCTTCTTTTCTGCACAGCTTCAACGGAAATGAACATACGTACCTATTCCATCCCCACACCCCGGCCCTACACTACCAGCTATTTTTCGTGAAGACCCGGAACATAGCCAGGAAGGCTTTTTAGAGATTATCTCAACGGAAATAACCTTCCAAGAACGTTGAACTGCCCGCGTCACGGGACGCTTGAGGTGCGCTCTCTTCGTTCGTTTCCTACAAGGGCCGAGCAGTCTGCGAGCCCTGGTATTTCCCTTTTCTCACATTGGAAGATAACACACAAAGAATAAGCATCCTGAACGGGCAACTAGAGTAAAAACTTCCAAGAAAAGCCGGCGAACTCCGAATGCACAATGCAGGTGGGGAGTCACGCTGACCGGGTTTCCACAGCTCAGGCGGGTGGCAGAAATTTCTGGCTGATAGGGGTCACTCGATTCGCAAAATGGCGGCGGCCAGAGAGCTCTCTTTGCGAAGGTCTATGTCCCATATAATACACCCCAAAATTTCGATTCGACGTACAGCGCTCTATAGTCGAACAGACGGCCCAAATTTTACGAGGGGCTTGATAGCCGTGTGGTTCAACTTGTTAAAATAGCTAATGTATGTTTTACTGACTACAAAAAAAGTAATCGGGGTTTTCTTTACCCTACTGTAGAAACTCAGTGTATTCTTTATGTGGTCGTTAATACGTACTTTAGCTATTTAGAAAGTTATATCGCACCGTTATCAAGCCCCTCGTAAAATTTGGGGCCGTCTGTTGGACTATAGGGTACGTCGAATTGAAAGTTTGGGGTGTATTATATGGGACAAAGGGTGTAACGATACAGCCTTTTTTTGAGAGCGTACGGCGGCTTGGGGTAGCTCAGCAGCTGCCCGGTCGCGCCAAATTTAGACAGTATTTAGCTGGAATTACTCTACAAATGATCTGTATCATTTTGAGCGTGTGTCCATTTAATGTCTTATTGGGAACAAAAAATGAATCATAGACTGACTCTTAGAGCATTAAGAAAGCGCGAGCTGTTTATGAGAAAATGTTGTCTGCCTTTGGTACAAAAACAGACACCTTTTTCTGGTCATAGACGGCGCGCGCTTTTTTGATATTCTAATTGTCATTGTATGATTATTTTTGCTTATTCTTGGCGCGAGCGCACGGCTGCTGAGCTGCTCTTTTCCCCAGGGACCGCGCTGCCGCCATCTGCCGGTTGCTGCGCCAGTGAGGGGGTGCGCGACTAGCAAACAGGCGCCGCAAATAACAAAAGCAAAAACATCCGATTTTGTTTTTCTAATCAGTTCTTACTTTGGTAAGTTCAATCTTCGAAATTTTTATGCGATGCTTTCACCACCTTAAAGGGGCCCTGCAATCATATTTAAGCGTCTACCTTTTTTGCGGTTTCCACGTCTCTTGGGGTTCGGGCATGTCAGAGGGCACGGAGAGAGTAACTAAATATCAGTGAGTCATATTTTAACCGGACGACGCGGAAACCTCCTCCACCTACGAGGGCGACTCGCGTTGCCGAAAGCGCGCAATATGTGACGCCTTTGGTCCTGGGCTTACTACTGGTCAGAGCCGCTAAAAGCTTTTTTTTCTTAATCGAGATACAAAATATAAGTGTCGCGAACCGTTTCAATTATGTATGAAAGTAGTTTTTGTTTAGTATTTTAGATCAGAAAAGCAACAAATGCAGTTTATAAAGTACGAAAACAAGAAAAGACCCGTCGACAAACCCGCCACCAAGCGGCGGAAAAAACGGCGCATACTAGAAAGGGCTAGCGGAATGAGGCGCCAACGAACGGCGAGAGTAGAAAGGTCCCGGATGTACGCGGCGGCGCTTCAGTCGTATACCGCCTCGAGGATCCGACCGGTTCCGAGTGTTCCGAAGGATTTCGGCGCGGGCTTGGCTGGCGATTGGGCCATTTGGCGGTATGGCAGCGCGAAGTGGCTCCCGTTCTGAACTGATCTTTACCCCGTGTTTGCTGTCGTTCGTGGCCAATGAAGTGTTATGCCGAATTAGTCTTTAATCGCGCAGCAAAAGCAATGCGAGCCGCCCTGGCCGCCCGCTTCATACAGCCTATCCAGAACATGCATTAGTGGCGCCCTCTCGAGCCGTCGACACGGAGTGCGGCAGCCCGTGAGCGCTCGCATAGCTCACTAGCCCTCCTCTAGTTCACGGCCACTCAAGCAACCAAGGACATCATGAAGGAGGTTATTTTTTTGCTTGTTTTTGTAATATTAATTTGCCTATAACTTTTAAAATAAAGTGAAATATGAGAAAAGGAAAGTTTCTTTAAGTTACTACGTTCAGTGCGCTCAGGTTCGGTGCAAACTAAAAACCAGTCAAAAAGTTCTTGCAGGGCCCCTTTAAGGCAGCTCTTTGGTAAATCATAGCGCGATACGTTACTAGGCCGATTTAGATGGTCACTTTAAAGTTTAAAGGCTTTCCTCGTTTCAGAGGGACGCGATACTGCACTACGGCTCTTCTAAGACACTTTCAAAAAGATTTCATTGTAAGCGTATGTCCGAAATATATGCAATATTATATGTACAGCATAAAATATGTTACCAAAGTTTGAACAAACAAATGTTTCGAAAGCTTCCGAATTCAAAATCGATTTTTTTGAAAAAAGACGTTGTTATTATTGTCGTTTCTTGTGAGCAGTAAGTTATTTTAGTGCTTTATCAGAAAATATAAAAGAGCAGATAGAGTATTTATTTCGTAATTAAACATTCGATCTTATCATACCTGTATTGTGAATGCGTGTTCGCATAGGTGATATTCTTGCCAATATTGTGGCAAGAATATATGACTATATTTACCTAATATTATTACACTCAATTTAACCACACATACTGCCACGCGTGTTGGCGAGCAAGGGCGTGCGTGGCCGAGTAGATACCCCAAAAAAAAAACGACAGCAAAAAATTGCCGAATGGATACCGCGCTTGACTGTCGCGCGGAACGTGTAGGTTCGATTCCCCCCCCAGTTAGCGGACTGTCCCTTTATTTATTCTTTCAACTTGGCCTTCTCGTAAGTTCGAGAACATTTTCGTGTGATCGAGTTCCGAACGTTATATGCACCGAACGTTCTACGCCGAACGATCCAGAGACTGACGAGTGTACATAACGGATTCCGCAAGGCGAGCGGAGTCAGTCTCGCCCCAGTTTTCGACTCTGCTTTTACGCCGACTTCGACGCTCGCGACGCTCTGCTGTTATCTTTTGTCTCCTTTTTATTTTCTTTTTGGGCACAAGTTCGCCACATTAAACTTTTGGTTTCTTTAGTTATTCGCCGCCTCATAACTTCTCATTCGTGACAATATTACAAAAATAATACGTATTTTAAAATTATTTTTTATAAAAGATGGTTCGGTACTATAGTGCCCTGATTAACAGAATGCGTAACAACACAAAACGTCTTACACATGAAATGCTGGACAAATAAAGAGGTACAATTAAACAATCCAGTACTCATAGATAACTGTCAGTAGAATGTAAATATAAGACGGCAACACATTTATTTTTATACATCACACACTTCATGCAAGGTTTGAAAATTCAAGTTATTAAGAAAGTGTTTGCACTTAATGGACTGCAGTTCAGCAGTGCAATGTGCTAACGTTTATTTACCTGCAATTACTACATATCTCTTTACGATATCAAATTATAAAATCTAGTTACCAAGCTTGAGGTTACAAACTTTTGTTAATTTCATTACCAGCGAAGCGGAGCAATATTACTTATTCAATGTATAAAACACATCAGATGGGATTACCAATTAAATCTCTCGCAAATATCCATTGAACGGAAAACGCTCGATGGTAACATTTTGTAAGCATTGAGTGTTTTGTGTTAACGTGTTTATTGGGACCTTAACATCGCTACTGACGACCTAGTGAAAAGTGAGTCAACAAAATATTTAGGTGTTTTATGTGAATTCTTCGACAGTATTTCTTGATATTATTTGAACATTCTTAATGCAGAAAAAAGAATGTTATGGGACTTATAAATTACACAATAAAAGAGCAGTTCGGAGTCTACGTTAAATATCGAAACCCCTTGTCCTCCAACGGCATTTAAACATCGTCCGCACCTCTGTCATTTCTACATTATATCACAACCTCATCATTAGATTGGGCAACGCAGGCCTTCATGGTATAAGATACTTTTCTTTCCGCGGCGCCGGTGCTCTCTTACAGAAAGTAATGTTATTACCATTACTATTGCTCTAACTATTACCAAATTGTCGATGAAAAGTTGCCTCTGATGATAGAAACTAACCTGCTTCATTTTCTTATAATTTTTGAAGTGTTCTGATTTCAGAAATGGAAAGATTATGTTCGTTGTTCAAGCTTCTTGTATGAAGGCGGCATCAAATTTAGTTTTTATAGTAGAATTGAAAAAGCTCGAATTTCTTCAGAATTGTGTGGTAATGTCTTAAATATGGTCACAAAAATGCGAAAGTACCGGCAAGTTTTTCATCGACACGCTGTAGTAGTAGTAAACTTAGTCGCACAATTTTATTTTCAAGGTCTGTAATCGCTGTGAGAACGTTCAGTAAAACGTTAATTTACCGAAATTGATTTGTCTAAATTTTATAGTTAAAGTGTTTTTTGGCTTACCCATTTTCATACATTGCGGGCTCCTGCAAACCTTGTCACTCTCTAGAATGAAACCAATTTAGTGTAAATTAAAATAGCGATTGAAGTGAATATGCTTTCTGACCGCTGCGCAGCACGCCGGTGAAGTTGTTGCTTCATAATTATTATACAGATTTAGGTGCAAGGTATTCCAAATTGTGAGCGGTATTTTAACTAGATGTTATCCCCCAAAAATACAATGCGCGAGCTGTACACAAAGGCAATCAAGGTTCTGGCCTAAAGCAAGCGCAACCGACGTTCTTCGGCCTTAACGGCTCTGCAAGCCAGCCATCTCTGCTGACTTGGAAGTGGGGTGATGTCTTAACCTCGGCACCACCAAGCGAAATCTACGTGCACTTCTTCCATCTGTACTAATAGGACAGGTTTAGAGGTCACGCTCAATGTTCTTCTTCAACTTTTCGCTGTCCTCCAATGAGTAGGTATATTCGTTTTAACAATATTATTCAGTGTTTCAAAACAGTTTGTTTCTGAGTGTTCTGTATCTCCAAAAGCGTGCCTTTAGCCGAAGATAATTAAAGTCAGTGTACAATTTACGTTTTTTTTATGAAAATAATTTGAACTACCATAAAGTATACAATACAGATGTTTGAAAATATTTATACAAAGACGGCACTTGCACCTGTATAAAGCATTTTAATTGAAGAATGCAATACACGTATTTCAGCCTTTATAGGGCGTAAAGTTTAATGAGCTAACGATTCCAGAGCACAATTTTGAAAGCAGAGGGACTTTATGTTTACTAAGCAGTATATGAAGTTGTAAAAAAATGATTGTCATTGCAGATTAAATAAATTGCATGTCATAAATAATGCAAATTTTTATTAGTGTGCTCCCTCGGAATTAAACTTCTGAAAGCAACCTGTTGGGTACATCAGCATTGAAGCCAACTGATAAGAACCTTAACTTTTCCAGGATTTGAATATGATGAGTGTTTTAGCGAAATCCCTACTGCTACTCAAACTTCTACAAGTGTGTTTGTGTACAAATATGCGATTACTTCCGTGATTTTAGATGTATCCAACGTGAGTAGTTCCAAATAAATGTTGTCACGTGAACAAAAAAAAGTTGTAGCAAAGAGCTCTTGTTTAAAACGTCATGGGAAATGTGATTTTAAAGCAACTTTCAGCTGTAACGTTTAAAGCTCTTGTTTTTTTTATTTTCGACTAACTTTTAGAATAACGATCATCACGAAAGAACCGAAACCAAACAATAGTCAGCCCATTCGCATATTTGGGGCATGATTCAGCGCAGGGAAATTTGTAAAAAAACCTTGACTATGTATTTTTTTGCAAGTATAGAAACATTACGTTATAATAATTACTGCTGAAATCTAAGTACTTTTTTACATAAACTACAAAAGTACTCTACATGTTATGCTTGCTTAGCCATAAATTTATCAAATCAACTCTGTTTCAACACAGTTGTCTGATTAATAATATTAATTTGATACAATGTAAAACAAATGTTGAGCCTATTTAGTTTCTCTTTCGTGCATTTTCGTACAAAACATCTTTGGACGTGGTTTTTGTAGCGATTTTCCAGCTTTAGCTCTTGTACTACCCACCGGTTGTAAATAAATGTGAATACTTCTATAGGTACCAACATTTTATTACGACTTTATGCAATATCTCACGTATTTAATTACATAAATACTGACAAAATTAATTTCAAAAATTCAAAATTTTATTTGCTATACGTGTCTAAGCGTCATCACAACAGAGGGTCTTTCTAAGTTTCTAAATAACGTGTATGTATTTCGATTATTATAAACTATTTTTCAACTCTTTCAGAGCCAGATTTGCGGTCATATCTGTTTGGTTTCAAACGCTCTAGGTCGGCGGGTGTTGATGGCCTGACAGTTCGTGACTTATGTCGAAATTATGACTCCCTGAAAAACGTTCTCCATGTTCTTATAAATAATATCCTAAAAACAGCTCATGTACCTGATGAATTAAAGCAGGCCTTGGTTGTTCCTCTCTTCAAGGGTGGTGCACCAAGCCAAGTTTCTTCATACAGGCCTATTTCAATATCGTCTTGCATATCCCAGATATTAGCTTTACCATATGCTTTACCATATAAAAGGATTTCTACCATTGTCACTTAAAAAAAGCATTACGCACGCGTTAGCCTACAGCATACTCAGATACGGCATCACTGTTTTTTTTAACTGTCCTCAGTTCTGGCATCTGAGAGTTGATCGTATTCTAAAAGGAATTTTGAAAAGTGTCGCATATAGCAAAGACTTTCTATCCTGTGACAACTTGTTTGCCACTCTCGAGTTACCTTGTTTCCACTCACTATTTCTCCAAACTGTTATCTGGCGACACTTCTGGGGAAGTGAGTTCAAAGTGTCGTCAAGTCCACTTCGTGATCTGAGATCTGCTCCGCGTTTTCAAATTCCACGGATAAGGACTCATTATGGTGAAAGTATTCGCTCATTCTATGTACCAAAAATATTTAATGAAGTCCCTGATTCTTTGCTTCTCCTTACTTCAAACAAGACATTAAAGAAATTTCTGAGGAGCTCGATCTCCGACGTGTATAGACAGTGAACTTTACTGCTTTTAACTCTTGTTTCTTTGTCCTTACATATTGCATATTCCCTTGTGTCATTCTTTTTTCTTTTCTTTTTTACTAAAGCACTTATTATTTTTTCTGGACACACAACGTGACTAGATGATGTATTGTGTGAAATTTGCCCTTACATATTGCATATTCCCTTGTGTCATTCTTTTTTCTTTTTTACTAAAGCACTTATTATTATTTTTTTTTGACACACAACGTGACTAGTGGATGTATTGTGTGAAATTTGCTATTTGTTCCTATGCATTTTGTTTTTTTGTGTGAACGCACCCTGAGTGAATTTGCCTGACTCAGCAAGATACATTCGTGTCTCCAATACGATATTTATTGTTGCATTTTTGCGTAATTTCGTGCGCGAAAGTGTGTGCCATCCAGTGCTTTTTTTTATGACTCATCTTTATGCTACATACAAACACGACTAAAACACCAACTATGACTTTTCGCCTGTACTCTGATGAAACATTGAATGTGTGTGTGTGTGTGTGTGTGTGTGTGTGTGTGTGTGTGTGTGTGTGTGTTTTCCCCTATGTTCACGGCAATGTGAGTCCGTGCGAATATCCGGTCTGCCACACCAAATGCTGGATCTGGTCCCACAAGCCTCTGCTGCTTTGACCAGACCCGAGACTCAAGTGGTTATATTTGCAATGTTGAATAAAAAATTATTATTATTATTATTAGAACAGCCTGTAACCTTCAATGAAATTAGGGGCTTAGCCGTAAATACTATGCTTGAGCTCAAATTTAAACATTTTTAAGTTGCGATTTTATGATTGAAAGGTACTCGTAAAGCTGTTACCTGAAGTGGATGTAAGAATGCTCCATCCTGTATTCAGTAGAGAAAGGATCCAAACAAGCGTAGTCAGTCTCATCGGTGTTCGTAGATGCCTATTCGCCCTTTTCATATTTATGCGCCCTGAAATATACATTGCGAGCTACAAAAGGATGCATCTTATTGAAACGCAAATATTTATACACAAAATAATGTATCTGCAGGAGGCAGAGTAAAAGAGTAAACGCAACATATTTTTATTCGGATAATATTAGCAACAAAATTAAAAGCAATTTACAGTTCTTTTTTTATCACAGTCCCTCCTGCGATCAACACGTTTGCACCAACGCATCACCCACGCGTGGATGCTACGACACAGAACATCTTGCTGGTGACTTCGAGGACAAGGATGCACCTCGAGTTTTAGCCTATCACCTGTACGGATATTCATTCCGCTGAGAACTGCTTTGGCTTTGCTTGTTTCTAACAAATTCAAATTACTCGGTGTAAGTCCCTTGAGTACTGCAGATGATAAATGCACTGAAAACGTGGAATAGATATATTTACGCTGTCGCACGTGCCGGGTGGAGGCGGGCATTGCCATGATGTAGGAACACTCCAAATGCAGCAAGCCACGGTGCATTGACCTGATCACAGATTTCAAGTAGTTCTCGAGCAGGCCACCATACGACGTGTTGCTGACTCTGAGTTTCTGGGCATGTAATGTTCGATTACTGTTCCTCTATGTTCCCGGAAGACCGTGAGCAAAACCTTGTCTGGTGCCCGAACTGCCCGGAACTTCCTGAATCTTGGTAACGAAGTGTGCCTCCCCTCTTTGCTTGCCCGCTTGGTCTATGGCCGGGCATAGTGAATTCAACGTTCGTCCCCGGTAACACTACTTTTACAAAAATCCTCTCCCTCAGCTTTATAGCGCCGGAGCAGCGTCTCGCACACGTACAAATGGCGCTCCTTAATGTGAAGCGTATGTTGACTGGGCACCCAGCGAGCGGACATTTTATGTCATTGCAAAATAACACGTGTCATGTGGAGTCACTAGACACAACTCACTTAATTCTTCAGCCATTTCACTGACAGCGACAAGGCGCGTTTCTTGTATAACTGTTTAACTTCTCATACTAAGTGCAGTGTCGTTGAAGTGTGAGCTAGCCCGGCCGGTGCGAGCTGCATCAGTCAGAATTGACTCTACGCTTTGAAAAATTTTGTACCACAGGCACAGCCGTCGAAATCACATGCGGACGCCTCCATAATGGCTCATCATCTTGCAATGAATGTCCGCGGACCTTTCATTCTGTGAACCGAAATCCGAAGTAATAAGCGCTGCCCCTCCCTGGTGCACGCCCTCAGGAGGGCGACTATTTTGAGAGTGCAGTAGTCATGTTAAATTTTTAAGCAGGTCGCTGGATCGGTGTGCACAGCTTAGTTGAATGAAGGGCTAAACAGCATTTGAAGCACAGCAGTCTATCGCAAGATTTCGATTCTTTAACTGAAATTCGGTTCCTTTTTTACTCTGCCTTGTATATAAAACAGCTTTAAGAATGCGCAAGAAGGCAAGTGTTGGATATTCAAAGGGCTCAATCAGACTTCTACGTAATCCGTTCCAAGTAACGAAATTATTTGTAATCCCTTACATTTATCAGTACTTTTGTAAGGGAATAATTGCATATTCCAGAAACTAATTTGAAAGTAATTTTATTACTTTTTTACGCAAGGGAACGGTTTTAATCCGTTACATTTTTGTTTTCATTCGCGGAGGAAAAATGCGAGAGCGTTATATATCGACAAAAAAGATCGTAATTTTTTTTTTCTGTGAGGTAAGCTCTACCGGAATCACGCTGTCACCTGCATTTAAAAAACAGAAGGTCCACCATTCTTCAGATTCTCAAAGCTTTTCTTCAAGTAACCTAAAACCTCGACTCAAATATATATACATATTATTTTTTTTTTCTGGGGGGGGGGGGGGGAAGGTTTGCTTGTTTGCCAATCGTAACTCGTCAGCTTGCTCGCCCAGAACGAAGTGGGAAGCAAACTGATACAAAGAACCAGACTCTTCATGCAAGAAATATTAGGCAAACTCCCGATTTCAAGATGTTTCCATAAAACAAAAACGAACCCCCCCCCCCCCCCCCCCCCCCTTCCCCGCGCAGAAAAGAATAAAAAAAAATGGTCAAAGTGCACGCGGGTTGGTATAGCGGGTCTGTGCGCGTCTTTTCTTTTTGTCTCTTCAGACTTTCTTTGCTTCCTTCTGGCCGAGAGAAAGAGAGAGAAAGAGAAAGATGGCTTTTTTTGTAACAATTTCAAGGACCAATATAATCTACACTTTCTTTGCTTTCTTCTGGCCGAGAAAAAGAGAGAGAGAGAGATGCCTTCTTTGTACCAACTTCAAGGACCAATATAATCTACATTGGGGAGAAAGGCGTAATTTTGTGGAACTGTAGTTAAGACAAAGCGTCTCAATGGGCCAACAATATCTAGCTGATGCTTTGTCTTAACTTGAGACAAAGCGTCAGCTTGTCTCAAGTCAAGACAAGTAAAGATCTCAAGCGCGGCTTTCATAGACGTCCCCCGATTGCGATGCGCTAGAACACACGGACACCGGATCCCTATTATAAATTTCAAATTGGCTGACCTATGTCATCGAAACATTTGAAGTGTCAATATCAAAGGAGGGTTCGGCTGCGTACAATCGACACTTTTAACAGATGGGCACATAGCTGCGTATCGGCACTCAGCTAACTAACCCTCATGCCTTCCTATAGATAAAATTAGAATATTTGTGTCTGCTCTCTGTTTCTCTGTCGGTCCGTCAACGTCGGCTTCAGTGGCACGACATTTTAGTATGACGAAAATACGGCAATACCAGCAGGAACGTGATTAAATGAACACAGAGGTCTGTATAGTTAACAAGACATATTATTCTAGCACGTGATAGGCGAGACGGAATGGCCAACGCGCCTGAGTGTCCAAAGAGACGAAAGATCCAATCGAGACGCAATGTACAACGTACCTGAATGTCCATCGAGACGAAAGATCCCACCGAGACGGAATGTCCAACGAGCCTGAATGTCCAACGAGACGGAAGGTCCAACCAAAACGGAATGTCCAACATGCCTGAATGTCCAACGTGCCTGAATATCCATTATTGGATCTTTCGTCTCGTTGGACATTCAGGCTCGTTGGACATTCCGTCTTGTAATCTCGAGCGGGTAGGGGAAGTCTTGCGAACGCGTTGTTTTCTATCCCCTCAGTCGCGCGTACAGGTGGCAGCACATATTTAAAAAAAGGTGAACTGAAAAGGTGTTTAGTGCAGCGAACGAAATCTTCACATAGAAACGAGGTAAGATGTCTGATGAGACTTTTTGAGAGCCAGATGTTGCTCAAGGCCACAGACGTGTGAGGTGCGGCAACAATAAATGCATCCATAACACTTGTGTCTTGTTTATTACCCTTGGACAGTAAGGTTGAAAGTAACGCCGCGGAAGTAACAGATTACTTTTTGAAGTAACGGTCACTTACTTTTATGGAAGTGTAATTGTAACCGTACGTTTGGCCATAAATAATTGCAAATGTAATTCCTTACTTTTTTTTAGTAACGTGTACAAGTCTAGGCTCAATTAACCATTAAGCCTTTCGTTTTTTTTTAATATAGTGTTTTATTTAACAAAAATATATTAGTTCTTAACTCTCTTTTACGTTATTCAGGACTGATTGCAGGACCTCATACAAAGCATAGAGTTTTTCTCTGAATACGGCGCTGTCAATGACCTTGAAGCAATTAGGTTGACAGGGAGGAAAGCTATCACAACGTCGAAACATCGCGATGCGATATAAGCCGTGGTACGAGTCCTTGCCGACCACGTGAACCTGCGTGCCTTTGTACCGCTCGGTATTGCAGTATGGCTAACGTTTAAAATATTTAAGCAATTTCAATTGATATTTAAAAAAAAAAGTGTATAATTTTCGAAATTGCATATAGAATATTTCCTTTAATGTTTAGATGTAAGCAAAGGTGACAATGATTAAAAGCAGCACAGGGGTTTAAGCCACATTTTACACTGTTAAGACAATTGGAAGATGAGTCTTAACGTCTCCGATGTATTTACATCAAACATCACGAAATATAAAGTTGTGCCGTCACTGCTATGTAAATATTAAGCTTTTGTTTTGTTAAAACAGCATGCTTAAATGAAGGAGAAATCTATACCAAGATTGCGATACCTGGCTTAAGGTTATCTATTGAATAACAAGTTCAGCAATAATATCCACGCTAAAGCGTCTTGCGTGATAGAAACCCTTGCAACATAGGCACAAATGTGTGCGCCTAAAAGCTTTTTGTATACATTATTAAGGTAAAATCGGTCAGCACATATTTCCGCGTGCATGACCGAAAAAAAAAGGCTTATCCGTACATCTAGAAGATTAGTGTTTGTTCTTACTCCGAGTGTAAAAGATAAGGAGGACAGAATGACCTAGCCTAGTTAGTCTCATTCTAGCTCATTCCCTAAATTTCTATGTCGAATGTTCGAGAGAGCCGAGAGCGGCTTCGCCGACTCACTCAGGCTCTCCCGACGACGACGTATTCTCTCTCGCAGTCTCGGTGAAGCCACCTGTCACGCCGACGGGGCTACGTTCGCTGCTGCTGTTTGGACGCTCACTCTTTCTTTTGGTTTCTGGCATAAGTTCACTGATTAAGCCTTTATTTCCCGTTTACGCTTGTCGAGCCATTTACACCCGCGACATTGATGGTGGAGGTGCAGGGTACTTTCTGATTCTTTTCCTCGTACGCCCCCGAGGAGCCGCCGGACCAGATCGATTTCAAGTTCCGAAAAACTTCCTTCTGTGGAGCCAGACAAATCCCGAGCAAGCCGCCACACTCAAGGCCAGCGGTCGAAATGTGGTCCGTTGGTGAAACAACCAAGGAAGAGGTCGCCGAACCTAGAGATGCTTCCCCAGGGCCAGCCGACCGAGAGCCCTGCTGCTGCGCCCCAAGTCGTGTTCTTGCCCGTCACACGTCGTACGCTGCCGCCTTTCCATAGCCACGACTATGCGGATATCAACGACTGAACGCAGCAGTAAGTGCGAAGTTTTCGTCAGTGCCTGCAGAACGTCTATTTT